TATATATATTTAATTACTCGTTTGGTCTTGAAAGGTTTAGCATTGATATGTTGGTGATGGGATCCAAATGCTTCGTTAATTATGCTAATTGTAGGTAGTAAAACAATTATGCTCTAAATAATATATTCTGCCTTGTAGATTGTTCTTTCAGCTCTGAAGGTATGTGTAGGTTTAGAAACAAGTCTAGTTAAAAAAAACCACTTTTTTTTCTTTATGGCATAATATGTATTTGTGAATTCCCAGCAGAATAAAACCTATGGAATAGTTTTCTTTTCTGAAACACTGAAGGTGGATTTTTATTTTTTTTTTTTTTCCTCAGGTGAAGAGTTTACCTTCTTGAAGGACCTTTCTGATATGGCAACTACTGAAGAAAGTCATTATGTTCTCAATATTGCTAATTCTCTCTATGTGCAGAATGGATATCATATCAGTGACAAATTTCTGCAGTTGGTGAAAAAATACTTTAAAGCTGAAGTAGAGAATATAGATTTCAGCCAAAGTGCAGCTGTAGCTACCCACATCAATAAGTGGGTGGAGAATCATACAAATAGTAAGCCCACGTGATTCTTTTCTATACTTCCTGCAGTGTTTGTGTTTCCAAAGCTGTACAGTGTTGTTGAGTTGTTGCCTTGGCTTTTATCTCTTCCTTTTGAGACCAAGTATCTCCTCTGATAAAAGAATTCTTGTGTCAGCTTTTTGTGAAATTATATATATTTTTTTCCCTGTGCAGGAGTGATCTGTCTTAAGTAATATTATCCATTCCTTATCATATAGTATTATCTGTCTGAATATTTTTTCCACTGTCTTACTGTCTTAAATTACCTATAATATTCATTGAAGGAGAATGTTTTTGTGGTAGGAGTTTTAATAGTATTTTAATACTGATTTTGGTTATTAAATTACAAAAAGAATAAGTACTGTTGCTAACTGCAGAAAAATTGTCTGCAAAAAAAAAAAAATTATATGCCTATGCTTTGGATGTGTGGAGTTTTCAAGGAACTCATAGTTACAAGGTACTGAGAAACAGACTACTAAGGAATACAAAAGATAATGTTGAACCACAGAATCAGACCCTGTAATGTAATCTTTTCCAATGTGAGAAAAATAGATAGCATGTTGAGAGAGTAGTTCATTTTAGGAAGACTGTCAACAGTGTTTCACAACAAAAAATTTACAGCAGGGGAGTAAGCACAAAATGACTGTTGTAAATATATTCAGATCTGCATGATGTAGTGCTTGCTTCGCTTGTGGAATCCCGAAGATGGGACATTTTTCTGGATACGTGCAGAGTCTCAAGGTATGGGAGTCAAGTTAGACCCTGTTGTGGCAATCAAAGCATAATCTCATTCTAGTTTACCTGGCACACTCTGGAGGTTGATATTTTAAGAGTAATTCAGCAGGGATCTGGCTTTGACATGAGTTGTCATTGTAAATTTGGAGGTATCAGAATCCTTTGTAAGGAATTAACACATCACCACGTAGTCTGAGCGTTTAAGAATCTGTAGTGCTTTACGGCAATGTATGGCACCAAACTGGAAAAACACCTCATATAATGCTGCTGTTCCATGTTGGAAATGTATAGTTTTTCCAAGGGAAAACGAGAGCTAATAAATTCATAATAAATTCTTCTCTTTATCTCCAGCGACAGGAATAGAGGGAATGTAAGTGATGCAGCAGATAGCAGAGTGTTTTCAGAGAAACAGGGTGTCTCCCTGAAGGAAAGGTAAAATTCTTTTAGAAGGAACAGCAAGTTCTCCTGCTTAACACCTGCCCCAGGAGCTGGCAGAGGCTGTAATTGCCCTGGAAGGAGCTGTGCAGAGCTAACAAAGGAGCTGTGGGTCTCTTTGCATTAGGTTGCGATAGTAACAGTCTCTCGGCCTAGTCCCTGACCACTAAATCTTGTTCCCTCCTGCCTGCCAGCTCTGACAGAGGAGACTCATTTTCTCATTAGAAAAGGGGTACAAGACAGGCAGCTTTCCAGTTCCAGCATGTTAAGTGTGATGGTAGGCTCGGCACAAAAAACAGAACTGTCGAAGGTTTCCCTGGCCAGAAAAATCCTTAATGTTATGTTAGTGTGTTAAGAAGATGTGGCTAAAAAATATAAGGAACCAAATAAATAATGGAAAAACTGGAATTGTATTCCTTCTTCATTTTTCTCTTTTCCCACCATGGCGAGTGAGTATGGCAGTATTGGTCACATCTCATTTTTAGGAACATTCTAGATACAGTGAAGTACAAACAGCAGCCCATAAGAAATACTACCCCATGATACAGAAATTTCACACCAGTTAGTCAGTGTCATATGCTTCAGAAAGCAGAATTAATTTATATTTTAAACCGTGGATTAAGAAGTAAAAATCAGACTGAGGAATGTGTTTACTTTAACACCTTGTACTGCAATGTCAGTCAAAAATAGAATTGGGCAGGAAAGCTGTCTGAAGTAGGCTGTAATTCTTCAAAAATAGTGACAAATCTGGTCAGTGCACCAAATTTAACAACCTCAAAATTATTTTGTTGGCAAGCAAGCCATTTAAGATGAGATAAAGCAGGTAACAGACTGTAGTCAGATGTAAATTACTTACTTAGGAGTAGGAGCAAAGCAGCTGCCATGCTCAGCTGATGTAGCTCCCATGAACAGAGCAGATGCTAGATAGTTTTTTCTCTTCATTTTCAAGAGCTAATGCCCGTGGAACAAATGCTGTGAATTCATATGGGGTTTTTTTGTTTAGTCCTTACTCTGAAGTCAGTCAGATTTTACTGAACCAGAATATTTCCTTCAGAATTGTCCCAGGTGAAATTCCAACAGGTATACCTGTAATACAATTTAAGCTACTATTTTAAGTGCTTTTTTGGGTCTGAGGCAGAGTTCTGACCTTAAGACAATAGTACTGAACTCTATTATAGCACCAGTGTAAACGTTCCTTGTGTGACCCGTTTTCCACTTGGTTTTATTGTGGGGTGTTTTAAGTAGTGATCAAGAAACAGTTGACTAACACGTACGTGATGGAAGGGCTTATACGCCTCCAGTGTGATTTAGGTTTACAAAACGCTGGCAGTTTAATTTGAAATTTAATGAAACATCAGAACTGGAAATGACGTGTTAGCACAGCTTTTTATTTTCTTGAATTTTTCAAGCTGTCTTAAGTTTTGATTTAATGCTCAACTTGACATGCAGACTGACAGTTGGTTTTCCTCTTAGATATGATCAAAGATTTTGTGTCTTCGAGAGATTTTGGTGCTCTAACTCATTTGGCTCTCATCAACGCCATCTACTTTAAAGGCAGTTGGAAATCACAGTTCAGACCTGAAAATACAAGAACTTTTTCTTTTACTAAAGATGATGAAAGCGAAGTGCAGATTCCAATGATGTACCAGCAGGGAGAATTTTATTATGGTGAGTTAGAGCTTTAGAAATTTAAAGCTAATAAGTCTTCCCTTAATAGGTTTTGTTGCAGCAATACTCATTTGTATTGTTGTCTGTTCTTTCTCCTAGAATTTTAAATGTGGTGTTTGTCCAATGAAGAGACTCTGATTTCAGTATCTTTTCGTAATGTGTGCTTGTCTATTATAAATAGCTAGCAACATTTATAATGACCTCTTTCTTGATTACTTTTTTTAGATCTGTGCTGCCACATGGTGGATATCAAGATGTTTATCCATTACATCTAACCTCTTTACAACTCTTGAGCTAGTCCTGCTTCTCACTGAGATATTTTTCTTGTCCTGTGCTAATTATTAAAATTAATATAGTTTGTTCATTACTGTTGTAATACCCTAAGGAAGGTAAAATAGAGGTGCTTTGAACAGCAGAGCTAATAAGCGTTTTTAGCTTGAGCTTGAACGCTCATGTGGGAGAACCCACATGAATGGCTAGCATTGACAGTATTTCACTCAGTCCCATCATGGAAAAATTATTTCTCCTGAATACAAAATCTCTGCCTGGTTCCATGTGTTGGCAGCTTCAACAGCTTCCAGACTTCTCTCTGTCTGACCAGGGGAAGCTGGGTAATAGGTTCAGACTTGCAGTTATCTGCGAGCTGTGTGATTGCATCAGCTTGTATTCTTTGAGAAAGCAGATGTAAGCCTCAAATCCTATCATAAAGGAACCAATATAAATTTTTTTACGGAACACAATGAAGTGGGTCATTTTTAGTTCCAATATCTTGTAAACACTGCCTAGTATTAGCTTTCTATTTTTACCCTATCTCCAGTGCAGACAAAAGAAAATACTTGTAATAGCTTTTGTTGCTGTTGTTTTTCTTTTGTAGGAGAGTTCAGTGACGGCTCCAATGAAGCAGGCGGTATATATCAAGTTCTGGAAATACCCTATGAGGGAGATGAGATTAGTATGATGATCGTTCTTTCCAGGCAGGAAGTTCCTCTGGTCACATTGGAACCACTGGTCAAAGCCTCACTGATTAACGAATGGGCTAATTCTGTAAAGAAGCAAAAAGTGGAAGTGTATCTACCAAGGTGAGAATATGTTCCTGTGCCACCAGAAGGGGGAAGAGTGCATTCAAATTGAGTAGAGTAGGTAAAGACTTGAACATCTTGATCAAGTCTGCAGTTCTGTAGCACCCACATGAAGGCTGCATTGACAAGAAAACCCAGGGGCTGTGTGGGGTGCAGAATGAAGGTGGTTTGAACACCAGATGAGCACTGGGTTTGCATCCCTCTCACATATGAGCTCCAGAAGGAGAATTTCATCGTCAGGAATAGAGCCGCTCTGAATGATGTTCTGAGTATTGCAGAACTCATTATGGAGAAGTTCAATTTAGGCAGGAGCCATAGAAATATTACAAGTCTGAATTAACAAAACCTAAAATGTTTCATATACCTCCTAGTTATATTTCTGCCTGCTGTTAATTTAAAAAACTCTAATAGTGTTTGTCTGTACAGACACGAGTGGTTGACTGTTGAGAGGTAATTCCAGTCAATTTGTGTCTTTTGTCTTTTTTCCTAGCTGTAATAAATGCTAGGGTGTTTTTTTTTTCCTTAGAGAAGCAATAAAATAACAAGACATTATTACCAGGAGGGATGAAACTTCAGTCAATTCATTTGTAGACATAAGCTGTGTGTGCTCAGTGGCATATTTGCTCACATACACCTCTTAGTTATCTTTCCTACAATGCTGTTTCATCTACCTTCAAATATTTTTCATGCTTGCCCTGCACTCAACATAGTAACAGAGTTGTTTACTACTAAATGTCACTAATAATGTATAGTTGGATCATGATGTCCTTCAAGTGATTCATAATGACTTCATTGAAGTATGTATATAACAATATGGCACAAGTTTGATGTGAATCGCTTGTACTTACTCTGCTTGTGTGGCACTGTGCAGCGGGTACACGGCAGCAGGAAAAAAGATTACAGTGGATCCTTTTAATCATTAAATAGCTCTTTGTTTTCAGGTGACTCGGAGATTTGAGGTGGTTGTATTTCACATGTAAAGAGAAGGGCAAGAATCCCTGCAGTTCATCAGCTTCCTTTCCAAAGCAACAACAGCTTTCAAGAAGCTAACTGCAGCTGAGCTCAGTAAAACAGGGCTAGCCAGGGTAAATTAGGTTGAGATGGACTAGTGTTGCCAGCATGCCTTGATTCCAGCTCGAGATGGAATTCCAATTCTCTTCAATGCTGTTACACTTGGAGTCAGAGTGGCGAGAAAACAGCAGCATTTTGGGGTTTGTTTTCTCTGCCCCATAGTAAGAGTTCTCTTTTTTTAGTAGCATTTCCTTTGAAGAGCAGCAAAGAGCTGCATTGCAGGTACAACCTACTGTACACTATTCCTGTGGTATTTTTTTTTCCTTTTTATCTTTTGGAGCTTCAGGTCCCATGAGCTTTAATATTAACAGTCCACTAAGATGCAGGGGAGGGGTGTTTCTCGTAGGCCGTTACTCCTGCAGTCTTGGGCAAACCTTACCTCGAGTTTAACGAGAAGTAAAATACAAGGATTCTTCCATCCCTTGAGCTTTTCTTTTCTGACAAGAGCATTTCACAGCCTGTGTATCAGGTACTGAAATTCCAAAATTTAGAGGCTTAGACATCTAAAGTTAAATACATGAATGACATAAAAAACATTAGTTATGCTTGACTTGGGTGAAGTTTGTAGAAGTAGGTTTGGGTTTTGTTTGTATTTAACCAAAAGCAGAGACTGCAGGATTCTCTGTAGCCCAGTTCTCAGACAGGAGTTTGGGGCCTAGGTTTTGTATGGCCATAAAAGGTTCTTATTTATTCCATCCTCAGGCTAGTTGTCATGCCTGTAGCTCTTATCTAAGAACCTCAAATAACTTGGGTAAACACTTGTTAGTTAAGGCCATAAAAAGGCAGAACAGGTACAACCAGGTGCTGATTACCTTCAGAATTTTCAGATTATAAAAGATAACTATCATGAGCTTGAAATTCCATGTAGTAATACTGTAGTTTCCGTACAAAAATTCCAAAGATTAATTGCCTGCTCCGGAGGTATTGGATTTCTGATAGGGATTCAGAGGTGATCTACAGGATTTTATCAATGCTCTAAATAAACACTTCATAAATATTGTATGCTCTGACTCAGAAAGGCATGTTATGAAATGTGGCCTGCAGGCTCTGTCCTCTGAGAAATTGAAAGTAGCACTGGAATAAAATTAAATTTTTATATACTGAAAGATGCTATCCAATTATAAAGTGAACATTTTTTAAACTTACACATTTGTAGTAGGACCTGAATGACTAGCCAAAACAGAGTTAATCACAACTTTCCAATTTCTGTTGGCATTATCTCTGTGCAAATGAAATTGTGTATTATTCCTCTTAATAGCAAAGGAGAGATTGGTACAGAATCGTTAAATTATACTTTCTCATTTTCATTTTCAAATCATTGTTTCCAGCTTAACCCAGACTGAAGTGATCAACATTTTAATCCACTTTTTGCATAGGAATGAAACAGACCATGAATCTAATTTACCACGCTGTCTCTCTGACATAAATTATTTGAAGAGCATAGGAGGAACTAGTACCTAATAACAGTGCTACAGTCTGCAGATCTTCTCCTAAGGATTGTTCCAGTATGCCTCCCTCTCTGTAATAACATCCTTGCTTTTTAAGGTATTTAAAATCTAAAAAAAAAAATGCCTCAGACAGTGTTGAAATGATTTTTTTTTTTTTTTTAGAGAAGGCTGTTTCCTCTCACAAAAAAAAAATCACCGAAACCCAACCAAATTCCTGCAAAAACCTAAAAAACCCAACAAAACAACCCCAAAGCAAAAAAAAAAAAAGACATTTTCTTTTTTTTAATGTGTTCTTAGGAGTCCCCTTTTTATGAAGAATAGGCCAATGCTGATTGTTTTTGAGATACAGTAACAGAAGAGGCATCCAACTGTCCACTGGAATACATACTTAGCCAACTTCTGCAGCCCATGTTAAGCCCTGGATAGAAGGACCTTGCCAGGGAAGGAACCATAACCTGCCTTGCTTCCCTGGTCAGAGCAGCTGTATGGGCTTATTTGTTGGTTTTGGCTGTTAGTGGGGTTTTCAGTTACGTGCTTGGTTGTTTTCAGGCTATTAAATCATGCAGGCTGGTTCTAGCACCTCAGGACAACCTAGGTGAGATTCCAACTGATATGTTGGAGTTGATATCAGCTGGCAGCTCTGTGCTATAGGCTGCTTGCTAGGTTAAAATAGTGATTCGGATCCTGAGGGCCTTACCTTCAAGCAAGAATCTTGATGATTTCAAGCAATGGAGCCATCCTTTGTTTGCTTTTTGTTCTGCAGAATTTCAGGTGTTAGAGCCAATCTGAAAACCTGGAGTTTCTCACTTTTGCTCACTCAGAACTCTTAGTAATGTTGGAAATTATAGCCTTTGGGATGAATCATACTAGGCTGTAGTTCACTTCTGTTGTATAACTAGGAGGTGTACCCTAAAACTTCTTGATTCTGCAGATCCTTAGTGTCTAAGGACTTCATGAAAAATTCAGCATTTTAGAAGGGTTGCACAGCATCATAAAATCTGAAGCCATCTTTTCTTCTGTTTCAAAGTCTGTAAAATAAAAGAAAGATGGCCTGGCACGGTATGTTAAAGTTAATGCTCTATACAAAACCTAAAGGTTCAGACACATAACTAAGGAGACTGTTGATGACATAAATGCATCATTTTAAGTGTAATCCTTGTGCAAGTTTTATCTATGACGTAAATATCGTCATTCCATGCTAAACCATCTAGGGAATTTATTCTTAGTTTCTCAATCTAATTCTACTTCCTAAGCATCTCATTCTGTTGTTTATTTCATGTGAGAGACATCCAGAATCAGTGGAAATCCAGAATTTTTGTTCAGCCCTTTGGGCTACATTTACTTGTAGGGAGTAGAAAGACTTTACAAATGAACATTGTAAATAAGTGTAGAGCTAACTCATATTTTCACTTCTCCTTGTCTTTGGCTAATAGCTGATAGGCAAGAGTCACTAGCCCTTATTGGTACCTTTCTGCTCAGTGCCTTCTCAGGTGGTCTGTAGAAGCATATATCCATGAGCATGTGGGTCGGTGAACCTCCTAGAGCTGCTCAAGTACAGAAGCTCTCCTCTTGACTCAACAGACCAGGCTTTCTCCTCCGATCCTGTGTTGAAAATACCACATCTTTGCTTCAGTGTCTTTCTCAGACTTCTCTTTGTGATTTTTAGTGCTCCCAGTTGCAACTATGCCATGTCTTCTGATACTGAAGTATTGAAATTGATTTTTTTTTTCATTGTATTTTTAGCGTCAGAAGCACATAAAAGACTGTGGGGAAAAAAAATATGACCATCTGGATCATTCTATGCGGCAAACACTGCAAATAACCATATGTCAGGGCTAGTATCATGTAACTCGGTGTTTCCAAAGTCTGGAAGTACTGCAAATGCCTGGCTTGGGAAATGAGATTGAGTGTCTCTCTGTGTTCTAGGTTGTCAGCTTTGATTTTCAATACCTATATCACTGTCTGTAAAGAATGCAGAGAAATCCACATATGACTGGAGGATAAGTCATACCGAATGTTTACGTCTGATTGCATAGCCTGAAAATAAATTTCCAAGTGTAAAGCAGCCCTATTTTTGAAAAGAGGGTAGTTCTGATGTCAGCTAAAATATTTGAAATATCACTAATAGCTTAGCTGTAACTCTCACTGACCTTCAGAGCATGTGAGAAAGGAGAGGAGAGATTATTCTGAACAGTACCTAACTTTTTTTACCATATGACAAAACTAAAAGGGGAGAAGGGAAGTAATTAGTTTTAATTTTGTGAATAGATAGTTTGGTATTTACACAGCTAATGTGGTATTTTCAGTCTACTTTATTTGTCATAAAGCAGGAACTCCTTTCTAAAGATACTGTAGAGACCTTCACTCATCCACCTGTATTTGTCTTTCCAGAGGTTTCAGTCAGGTTATAACCTCAATCCAGTAGTTAAGTGACTCTTGCTATCCTTCATGGAGATGTTCTTTAGCAGTATAACCAATCAACTTGTTTGCATTTTCTTTTTTTAGATGCATATTCAGCTGAGACTTTACAAGTTTAGTTGGTTTTTTTGTTTGTTTGTTTGTTTGTTGTTTTTTTTTTCCCCAAAAACATCTCCCAAACCTCTTTTGTGATTAGTATGCAAAAGCATCTTTTGTCATGCTTGCTTTCTGGGTCACAATTCATCACTTAGCTGATAAGTGGGATTTCTGTCTAGTGGTCCAGAGACTTAAACCCACCTGATTTCCATTTATATCTTACAGTGATTCTCTGCAGTTGGTAAAAATACTTTTTTGCAGTTTTTTCTTATTTGTGACCTCAAATTTTGCTTTTCATGCAGATTTTTCTTGCCCTATCCTGATATACCTTACTAGTTTGACATCACTAGTTAATAGCTAAATTGTCTTGAAAGCTTGATATATCAAATACTAACTGCACTAAAATGAAAGTGGAAAGGGAAAAATACACCACTCTGAAATTTTTAGAAAATGCATTTTAACATTTATTTGCCTTTTCTGCATATTTGTAAGGTAGGTACAATTGGGTGTGTTTTTCAAAATGTTAGTTTTACTATAGAAGGAAATATTTCTGGATTTATTCAGTGTGCACAGACAGGACCTCTGTATTATTGAGGTCTAATTAACTCTAGCATTAGGAATTCAGTCTCAATTATTTCTTGGCGTTTTTACTGAGGTCTCTAAACCAGAGCTGGACATATTTCACGAGTGTGTAGTGAGAGTAAAACTGCTCTGTAGTTTCAGAGCCTAGAAGGCAGCAAAATTTGAATGGATGAGCAACTTGTAGTAGACTTGTCATTTGGCTTGAAGCTAAAATTGTGCATAAGGTCCTGCAAGCTCCCTGACTCTGTAGTTTTGATGTGAGTGTTCACAGCTTTCTAAGAGGAGAACTAAAAAAAAAAAAAGCTAACAGGACACATTTCCATTTCCTAAAATATAATTGGCTGTTTTCAGGTCATCTGGTATGTGTACCTACATCTCATTCATTGAGATAATGCCGCCTGTTATTTTATTTAGAAATGCCCAACTGACTGATGTAGAACATGACAGAACACCAGGAGAGGCTTCTTCCAGTATATGTCTTCGTTGGTCTTTCCTGATTCTTTTGAGAGCTGCCTAAACAATAAAATCACAAGAATCAGTCCTGTTTTCATTCCAGGCATATCCTGGAATTCACCTGACCAGGGTACATGAACAATTGCAGTGCCACCAGTGATTTATCCATTCCAAACTATCTTCAGATCTTACTTTAACTTGCATAAAATTCTTCTCTGAGTACTAATACCTATTCCACTATAGATTTTTGGCTTCTAATGGCATTTCTAAGGTTGTTATCAATGCAGATTGTGTATTTTCCTTACGCTGTGTAAATGTTTTTGGGGAGGAAGATCTGCTCAGCTCTTATCCGGTTTCCTTTCGATGTCCAGATTATTCTTTTTCAAGTTGCCAAGGCTTGTACATGCTGAGGTATCATACAGTTTGGCTCATCAGCTTTCTCTGCTCAGTGTTCTGGGCTATACTTTCTGCTGAAAAGAGCATGTTTTTCCATGTAGCTGGGGAAGTTTAATCCTGAAAAAGGAAGTCACACAGAAGCATGTATTATTTGGTTCTAGTACAGATAAGACCCATATACTAAGGACTGCAGAGTATCTGCAGAGTTATTTCTGACTGACTGGCGTGCTGAAGAAACTGTTGCAACACCTGATGGACTTAATATTTTGTGTTGTATAGTTATAACTAATCACTGTCAGCATAATGTAAATCACCATTAATTTGGTCTTTCTACAGAAAACCCATAACTCACCCATATCAAACATTATAATTAGTCTCTTGTGTTTGTCTGTAGACTTTGAGGTATTTTCTGGTTGGGGCTGCCATTCTTATTGTTACTCTGATATTTCCTCAGCTCTGTGTATGATCAGAAACAGACTAAAAGGACTTGAGTGTTTGTGTTGGGTTTTTTTGTTTGTTTGATTGTTTGGGTCTTGTTTGTTTGTTTTTGTTTGTTTGTTTTTTTCTTTTTACTGTCGCCCAGCATAGCTTTTATAATGTTTTAAAAGCAGTCTTTGTAAATGGAACAAGCTTTTGCCCAAAATCTTGCCATTAGGGTAAATCCTGATTTGTCCTTCCAGCACAGTAACATAGCCTGGAACATGGCTTTGCAAGCTAACCCTGAAACCCTGCCAGGTTATACTCACATGTGCTTTTGGGCTAACAACTATTTGTTTTCCCCGTTCTTTACTCACAATCAAAACCCAATTAAAATTTTGCCACCAGAGTAATTAGAAGCTGAGTCAGAAATGCTTTATATTCATGTTCATAACTGCTGGTCTTTGTTTATGCTGTCTAAATAAAAATTGAGTATCTTTCCTACTCCTGCTTTGCCAACAGCGGACTGTGACGTTTGTGCTGTCCTTTGCCTTATTTGATCCTCTTTTCTAGTATGCCTACAATTAAATTCTGTTTTTATAGTAAAACTTCTGAATAAAAAATAAGCATTTACTTTCGCTACCGCATAATTTTCAGCTGGTTTTGGTCAGGGACTGTACCTATCATTAGCATATTTTTGATTGCTTCTACATTAGAAGAAAAAATCCAGCTGTGAGAGTAAATTTAATTTTTAAGCATTTTTGTAGGTGTCACTATCCTGGGCTACTAGCGCCGAATCTCCTACTTTACATTATTTACCTCACTGTTTCAGTTGTCATTACCAAGTAATTTTAACCTGCTAATAGCAGTAAGTACTGCGTATATCTAAACTCTTTGTAATTTTCTGTTACGTTCTCCAGGTTCACAGTAGAACAGGAAATTGATCTGAAAGATGTCTGGAGAGGTCTCGGAATTACAGAGCTGTTTAGCAGTAGTGCTGACCTCACTGGGATGTCTGGTAAGAAGTTCTTATGTAGTCTCTCAAAGTATATGAGCAAGTACTAAAATTACTTAAAGATAACCAAGGAGATTTTCATGTGGGTATATGGAAAACAAAACAAAACAAACTCCACCTGCTAGCAATTTTTTGACCCTTTGTCATTTTTGCTTTGTGCAAGAGCGTGCTCAATATATAGGAGCAGGGGAGAAATCCATCAGGATGTGTGTGCAGAGTGGGAGATTTTTGCCCTGGAAAAGTTAACTCTGAGTTTCAGAACTGGATCTCATTAGAAATGTAAAGAAAGTGGCAGATCCATGTTAGAGAAAGACATGGGTTCAGTGCCTTGATGGCAAATAGGATTCACACAAGAGGGTTGTCATCTTTTATCTCCAAAGTCTATTTGTTCACAGCGTTAAGGGCATTAAGCTGTTGTACAATTAGTCATCTCCCAAGGTATCTGCTTTGTAAAAGCAGCCCGGGAAAGAAAGAGTTCTGAGTTACCAGCAATTTAGCCACATATGCTGCTTGCCTCCTACAATACGTTGCCAACGCTTCACTTTCAGAAGTTGAAATATTCAATACATTTAGAAATTCAGGTAGAAATGAGATATTTATGCTTTTAATACCTCCTAAAAGGTATTGAAGTGCCAGAAAAGATAGTTGAGTCATCTTTGCCTGAGAAATTATTTATTTTTGTGTAACAAAAGTAGCCAAGTGATCAGCATATTTAGTATGATCTAGCTAGACCCGAATTTTGGCAAGCCCAATAGTTTCATGTCTAGAAGCATGTACCAGTGTGAGCTTGCTGTTGTAGTTACTGCCTAATCAGCCAGGTAGGTCCTTAGCTGGTGGGAAATACCGGCTCTTAATGGTCTGTTTCTGGAAGCAATCACACCCATGTGGTTTATTCAAAATAGAGGTAATGAAAGTGGAGCGTCCTCTAAAATGTACAGCAGAAATGTTTGCCATGTTCATGTTCTTTTCACTTTTGCTAAGTTTGCAATACTGTTTATAGAGTCTCACATAGCTTATTCCACTGTTTTGCCACTTTCACTTTTCTAGAGAAATTGTAGGAAAACCTACGAGTTAGGTAATGTGAAAAGAACTTTAATAAATGAAAAATCCCCCTTTAAAGAATTTTTCTGGAGAAAGACCATAAATTTTCTCAAAGAGAAGTAAGTTTTCCAATATATTCTGGTCCATATGTGTAAAAATATTTACTTGAGAACAAGTACCAAGGAGAATAGAAAATACATAGGAGAAATTAAACCACAAAGGCGGTGCTTGAGTCTTACTTAAATCTAGGCACAACTCACCTATATGTTGAGGACTAATTCTGTGGTCAACAGGCCAGCAGAAAGACTGGAACATAAATGTGGTCTAATCCATGTAGCTAATGATTTTTCTGAAGTTTTCTATCTTTGACAATTATACTGTGCAAAATCAAAAAAACATTTTTTTCATTTTTGCATTTCTCTGCTGTTTAAAGATTAACTTGTTTATTAAATAAAGTAGAGCAGTGTAGAGAGAGAGAGTTCATGAGTCTTATTGTAACATTCTGCCCTTTCACTGAAAAGGGCGTTTCCCACCAGTTGGTGAAAAAAGTCTTTCATAAATTATGAATAAGAAAATGTTTTGGAAAAAAATGTCTTTAAGGAAAACCCTGCTCTTGAGGCTATGGAGAAGAAATTTTCAGTGATTAAAATATGGTTCTTATTTCTAATTTTCACAATATAGAATATGGGGGAGAAGGAAGGGGAAAAAAAATAAGAAAAGTGTTGAAAAGTTGCTTTTATAAATCCCTGCATAGTATGTCAGGTAACAGAGAAGTTGAAGCAAGATGTTCACGTGCATCTCAGTGTCAGCCCTCTGGAAAATTTGTCACTTCATGAAAACTTAGAAGCAGATGTTTGCTGAAAATATTTGTCTGGACATTTTTAATTTAGGAAGATAAAATAATAAAAGAAATTGAAGGAGGCTTTTGAGAAATTCTGTTGCATTTAAAAATACTCTCCTCCCCCTCTCCTGTTGCTCTTGCTTTTGGATTATTGTCAAGGAAAGTCTTCAGCAATTTCAACAACAGCCCAAATCCTACACTGAGATCCAGGCACAGATTGTTGAGTTCAGCGAAATCATCTATGTGGGTTTAGTGGCTATAAATCAAATTGCAGGATTACAGACTTATTTTTCAATATTTAGAATTTTTTTTGCTTTTTGTACTCAATCTCAAAAATGGAAGTAGATGAGTCAGCTTTACCTCCCGGGATGTCTAGATTGTGAGCAACCAAAGTGTTCATCCAGATGCACATTTTAAATGTTACCCTCTTGCAGAATTTAAGTTCTTTGCCAATTAACACAGGTGAGTAGGAGGACATTTTTATTTGGCTGTCTAGTTGCATGTATTCTGACTGTAGCTTTCAGCAAAAGACTTTGACAGGTTTTACTCACATCTCTGATTCCACTGGGTGTTCAAAATAATCTTGAAAAAATTTCTTGGTATTTGGGATTTTATAATTTACACAGTGCATAAACTTGCTACTCGACTATTTTGGCACCACTTAGGATTTACCCTTGAATTAGTTTCTGTACTAAAATTACCCTTCTTTTTCAAGTTATTATATTTCTTTCTGTTGTATAATGCCTTAAATGGCAAGAGCTTTTCATCTCAAGGTGACCTGCGTTTCAGTGAGCAGTAAAGTGATCTTAATGACTTACTTTAACAATATAGTTAGAGGTGCATCAGTCCAGTATATGGCTCTTCCAAGTCTTGACTGAGGTAGGTATAATTTTTCTGGGATAACCTAAGCTAGAAAAGCCCATAAACCTGCATGCTTTTTAAAAATGAAACTTGCAGAGCAACCAGTTGGCAGCTCTGAGTAGGAGTTTGGAAGCATATGGAGTGTAATGACAAATGAAGTGTGATGCTATCAGAGTCATGTACATTAGAAATAAGTTTCAGATTACTCCCACACACTAATGGTTGTCTAGGGTAGGGTCCTGCAGAAAGCCTAAGCTTTGATACCAGCTCTCCATGGGAGTTTGCTGAGATGCCAACAATGAAGTCTTGTTGATTCTTAGGAAAACCCAGTTTCAAAGAAGCTACTACAGAAAAAATGTGATAGCACTCAGCTAAGAACTTCCTTATCCACAGGGAAAGCCATAAAGGAAGATTGTATAATGATGACAATGAGTATGGTGTTGAAGTGTCCTAGTCAGTGATTTGACAGTCACAAAACAAGAGACAAAGACAAGACTACCTGAACACTCAGTGACAATGTTATCCTTCCATACAAAAATATATTCACTCACTTCAGGGAGTGATGAATGAGACGGATGTGATAGTGGGAATATAGAGAAAAGTCCCAGAGGAAGTAAACTGGGCTGTGGAATTTCTCCTTTCACCATCCAAGGACAAAGATATCCAATAAAGTGAAAAGCAACAAATTGAAAACAAATAGAAACTACTTCTCCTATGGAAAGAAAACTCAAATCTTTGCTGGGTGTTCCTTGAGATCATGAGGTTGGTAGGATTTAAAAAAAGGAAACTGCTTCAGAGTGATCAGAACTATCTATACTACATTGAATAAAGGCATTCTATATATTCTGTGCATTAGGAACTTGGTATAAGGCACATGCTGAGTGAGAGGATTTTTTTTTCCCATAAGTTGTCCTGTAGTTTTCATCTGTAAGGCTTCATTGTGTTTGATTCTGAACCAACAATAATATAATAGCAGGCACAGTGTGCTAGATTCATTAGATGTACCTGTGTCATCTGCAGTGGCACTTCTTCTATTCCAGTGACCTTAACAAAATATTGTTAGTTTTCTTTAATACTCAGATCCTGCATACACTTACAAGTAGGCCTACGGTTATACCCTATGGTGAGTGCTAGCAGTGCTCATGCTGTCTAAATTGAGGTCAACAAGCTCATCAGATGGAGACCATCTGATGGCACCATCTGAGGTGCTAAGTATTCTGACCAGAAATATACCTTGGAGTGCCATGAGTACCCAGCACACTATGCAAAGTGAAGTGTTTAGGGACAAAATACCTGCTGTGAACACTACAGGTCACAGTGCTGTAGTAAAAAAGTACCTGTAACTCAAAAACATGATTACGTTAAGTGGGCATTTCTTCGGCTGTCATTAGACATGAAAACGTATTTAGGTTTAAGATAAGGAACTCCAAACCAGCATTTATTTATCAAGACTGCAAAGTTCTTGTTTTCTTCTGGTACGTGCTGTGTAGCTCAAATTCTCACAAGCTTTGAAATGGACTCAAGTGAGGATAACAAATACAGCTGCCTGGAAGGGTGAATTGACAGAACTGACCAGTGAACTTACCAAGAAACCTTTTAACTGAGGGTTTCAAAGGCAGCACATGCATAAGTGAAACCTGCACAAAAGGAGTTGCTGATGGGCAGGGATTTGTCGTTCTTTTTGTCTTGGATATCTACCCATTTTCACCTATGTAAATGTTCTTCCACATCTAGTGTTCTAAAACATATTTTGAAAGCTTCTATCTTAATGGGTTCATAATGGAATGGAAGCTTTAGGGGATGACTATTTAACACTAGATTGTAGTATTTAGTTGGCTCATCATGTATTTTTTACAGGTAATGCTTGAGGCTTGAAGGTGATGTTAGTGTTGGAATGTAACCACCTTGTGCTTTCAGGTGGCCTTTCTGTTAAGGAGAAAAAAGCTGTGAGATTTGTGCTTAGTGTTCAAGTTAAGTAGAAGCTGCATGTCCCATGTTTTAAAGTAGCATAGTGGACATTTTATCCTAGCTTTCCAGATAACATTACTGAAGGAACTGGAAGAGTAGAACTAGTATAATATTTAGTACAATCTAGTATGTTTTACTATACATAGTCCCTAAGGGAATGTTTTGGGACATTTGCAGGTGAGACTTAAGCAGCTGAACTAGGAGGTTTATATCTGTTCTGAGTGTATGTACAGTAATGGGATCTGCTGGGAAGAGACATTTTAAACTCCTGTCTCTTGGGGGTTTGGTGTGCATTAGTGTTAAAACTAATGGCTGTTGTTCTGAGAGCCAAGACAAATGGGCAACAGTTTAATAGTCTCAAGCATTCCTTCCTTAGTGAGCCTTCAGCTAGAGTTTTGGTGTTGAACAAATTGTGAAGGATCAGAAAAGCAAAATGGTGTAGCTGTTTCACTGGGGTGTTCAGATTAGATTTTCATGGTTGTGTATCCCCCTGATGAAAGCTTTTATTCACTTAACTTCCAGTTGTGCTCTGTCATTACTGTGGCTTTTATGCAGGTACAATAAATGTATATCTAATCTTTGTTATGCCTTAGTGATGAAACTTAGTCAAACAGATTAAATGGTGTTATGTGTTTTGCTTCCTGCAAGGTGTTGAGTATTTCAATAGCTCTGATCATTTAGGCACTGCAGAAAAGTAATGAAACATGCACTGACTTAAGCAGAAGTAGGCTTGGACTGAAATTAAAATACTGACAAAGAAGGATGGAAAACAAACAAGACTGAAAAAAAAAAAAAAAAAAAAACAAACTAGTTCCCTGATAGCTTTTGCAATAAGTATTTATCTGCAGCTTCTATTAAATATAATGACAAGAAGAAAGAAAACATCTAATTTTACTGGAGGAAGTCTATATTACACCTAATGCAGATATAAAGTTCTTGATGTACGAGGTATTTGCCGTGTTGTGTCACAACCCTTTTTCCCAATAGCTGAGTTTAAAATCTTTTGTTCGAGGATTGCCTTTTACTTTCCATGGTATCGTGGTGCTCTAGGCAATGCCAAGCTATTTTAGTATCCATAATGTAGAAGAGCACTACAGATTTTAATGTAAACAGTTTTGGCAGAAGGTATTTTAATGTAAGCTCTGTGCTATTATCCTTCCCTGCTTCGTACAGAAGGTGGATAACAGCATTGGGGTTTTTGGCAGTCTTTGGTTTGTTTTTTTAAATGCTTCAGTCTTACTGTTGACACTTGAAATATGTTTTCTTTTTCTCTCCAGATAACAAGGAACTTTACCTTGCAAAGGCATTTCACAAGGCATTTCTAGAAGTTAATGAGGAAGGATCAGAAGCTGCTGCTGCCTCAGGTACCTAACTGAAAAGCAGAACTAAATCAGCTGTCTGGTTATTCTGTGTTAATTTTTTAAAACTGGTGTGCTGTACAGCCAGGAAAGCTAAATAGTGGGTAGCATGAAGACACAGCATAGCAAGTACATTGCTTTTCAGAAGAGAATTCTGGAAATGAAGTGTTGTCATTACTGGCATGCATGAATCTTTATTAACAGCCCAGGAAAATGTAAAACTAAATGAAACACTAGGAAATAATAATAATATCCTGGAGAAATCCATTCATTTCCAAATAAAAGTAATAGAGCCAAATACTGCCCGATTCACAGTTAATTTTACTCTCAGACTCTGAATTATTTAAAGGCTCCAGCTAAAAGCTGCAAGATCAGCCCATTTAGTGGTTACATGTTCTGTAGTTATTAAGGGTTACCTTTTACTATCAACTGCAGGCTTGAAGCTGTTTAAAACAGGTCAGCAGTGCTGTCTAATGTAATTCATTTTTCTTTCTCTAAGTGAGCAGGAATCATAACTTCTCTTAAGGTTTTGGATCATAAAATTTATAAGCTGCTCCCTCATCTGGGACATTGTGACACTCTTCATTGTTAGTCATTCTTAAAGCATAAACAGGCCTGCAATTACTCTGTAGGTCTCTTTCATGTTAGGTTTTTCATGCTCTTTCTTGGTGATGCTTGGTGCTCAGAGTTTGGGACTTCAATGTCTCACTCATGAGCTTCACAAGTTTCTCTCATGAAGAGCAGGAGAATGTGCAGTGATGTTTAACAAGTTGCCTGTTTTTTTCCCTTTAGGAATGATTGCCATTAGCAGAATGGCAGTGCTGTATCCCCAGGTTATAGTTGACCATCCCTTTTTCTTTTTGGTCAGGAACAGAAGAACAGGTAAAAACATGGCAGACTCTGCCACATTTTTCACAGTACATCAGCAAGTGTACAAAAGAAAATTGCACATTTTGATCAATGAACTGGCCTTGTACTATGTATTTCCTTAATTTGTCTTAAAATACCTAATACTGAAAGACTGACCTTTTCTATGTCCCCTTAATGTTTCTCCAAGTAATACACCAAAAATCTGACATAATCCTGAAAAATATTCACAATTATGTGATTAAAAACCCCAGGGAAGAAAAACTTAACATTTTTCTTCAGAGAACACAGTGTTACTGCCCTGATTGTCCATAGTTATTTCATTCTGTAAGAGCTTGGCTGTAGTACGGCCAGTGAGATATGTTCCTGGTACCAAATTATTTGCATAATGGACAGATATTACAGCTATGAATAATTCTGTTGTGCTCTTGAAGTGTTCCGTGGCAGGCAAGGGATGAGAACAGCACTCGCTAACAAAATGGGCAATGATGAAGTAATTCTTAGTTTCATATTTGTAATTCATCTTAATGATATGGATGTGACTGGATGACAAAACATCACTCTGTACCCACAGACTATCATACAGGTCTGTGCATTGTGGTGTCTTACATGTTCTACAAGCAAACTCTAGTAGGTCAAATTTGATGGGTTTTCTTTTTCTGTATTTGAGATCCCCCATCATCATAGATGTCCATTTTTATTAAACCATTTAGATTGCAGTAATGCCTACAGTTTAAGGTCGTTTTGTGTGCAAGGCATAATACCAACTCCTGGTGGGGAGTTGTCCAGAACTAAGTTGAGTATCCTTTCTATTGTAGATACATATTTAGGCTAAAAGGTATCTGGAGAAGGATAGCTCTCCTAAATACATGAAACTCTCCCCCAAAAGAAAAATTTAAATCAAAATAGAGTAGAGCTTGATAGTTTTAACACAGGTCTTAATGTTGCACAGGCCTGGTTGCATGTAGAAAGAGGAACTGCCAACAACTACAGTTAAAGCCTGAAAGCTCATTACTACTCTAGAAATCTAAGGTTAGGAATCTTTTGAAAATATCTGTGATGGTTGCTCTTCTCAACAATGCCCTAAGTGCTCACAATTGTTTAAAGCGTTTAAACAGGTTAGGTACGAAGGCATAAAATGGGAAAAATGTAAATGGCAGTTAAATAGTGCAGGGGAGCAGTATTCATACAGAGAATTCTTTGCTTTGGGTTGCACGCTCTAATGTGGAGTAAATCTGTGAACTCAAAGTATCTATCTATTAATAAATGTTAGCTCATGGGTGTGGAGCTTCTAGGGCTCACTTTTAATTCTATGAGGAATGTTGTCCAGCAGCTGTGAGGCACATGTGGGTCTGAAGTGATCATGAAGGTTGGTCTGATGAGCTGTTCACACTTCACTTGAGGTTAGCCTCAAATGTGGAAATGTGTAGCTCAGTTGACATGAGTGGCAGTACTTCATGGGCCTTCATCAGAACTGACGAAATGACAGTGAACTTTTCTGTTGAGTTCTGGAGGGTTTTCAATCAAGCCCTTAGAATAAGCAGAGGGGTGCCAAAATGCGGATGATTTCACTGTTCTCTGTACTGCATGAGCTCTGAATACCAAGAGGTCCTTTACTCTAGGGCTGTTGATTCATTGCCTTTCATGGCTACCAAGTTCTCTCAGACATATGTTCCTGTAAAAATTGTGCACCATGTGCTCTGGAACGAATATCAGTATTTGTCATCTTACAACTGAACATTTCCTTTCTGTTCTGACATCTCTCCTTCCCTGCCTCCCTTCCCACTTTTTCCACAGGTACTGTATTATTCATGGGGAGGGTAATGCACCCTGAAGCAATGAATACAAGTGGCCATGATTTTGAAGAGCTTTAACTGCCACCAGCTACCAAAAAGAGGAGATAAGCACATGAAGTTTGAAGTTAATATATTTAAGGTTTGCTGTGTTTTCCCCCAAGATACTGTTTAATATGCTTTCAGATCTAAATGTGTGCAAGCTAGTTTCCAGAGGAAAGCTTACAGTATTAAAGTAATGGTTCTGTTTCTGTCATTGTGATTGCTGTGTCCTTAAAATAAACTTGTGTACATGTCAACAACTGTTTGTTGTTCTAGTGAATTGTAAAGCAAAAAAAAACTGCCAATCCTTTATTTGTAATTTTTTTACAGTCCAGAGACTGACTTGATCAGTGAGACAGGAGCAAGATGTGTGCAGCTCTGAATAATGCAAAGAGCAAACCTTGATGCTAATTTATAGAGCTGAAGAGTTACATCTGGAAAATGGGATCTCTTCCTGTAAAAGTAGTAAACAGGCTGCAATACCCTGTCTCATCAAAGTTAATGGAACCAATTAAGCCTAGTGGATTTCATTCTAGAAGATAACTGTGGTAGACTTTGTGTGAACTCTCCCACATATGATTCTAAAATGTTGCTTTTATGAATGCTCCTGCATGTGACTCTGCTGTTCACCTTCCATAACTGTTGATGCCAATAAAATTTGATCGCATGGATATTTGAGACTAGTCAGTGTAGAATAGCTGTGTATGTGACTCAAGTAAAATAGTTCAATAGTCGTGTCATGCATGTGGACACATTTTTTCCCCAAAAGTAGTTGTTCTACTTTAACCTAAACTTTGTAGTGTCTCACTTCAGGAATCTACAATGATCTTTCTCAAAGTCAAAAAAAAAAAAAAAAAAAAAAAACTGACACGAAACCACCTTAATTTGAAGTATCTAAAAATTTTCTATTCATAAATAAATGTCTAAATGAACAACATAAGCCTTTCTATTCCCTAACTTTCTGCTGTGAATAAATTGACAGAGAAGAATGGCACATACCACATGTAAATATTAACAGGGGAATTAGTTGCTGTTTCCATTTGCAAGAGGAGGAGAAGTACCAGTTGTCACCAGAGAAGCATATAATTATTTCCTCCTTCATTGTGCAAAATACAAAAAGAACAGAAGTTATTAAAAAGGTGAGAGAGAATAGAAAAGAAGGGAGGAGCTCCTTTGAAACAGATCGTAAATACAAACTTCTGGATAGTAAGTGGGTTTCTTCTCAATCAATAGGAGATTTGCCTTTTGAATTCTAGGGGGACAAATGTGTACTGTCTGAACTTTAATTATAGGCTTCTCTGGCATACATTCACTTCAGAACAGTCTAGATATTGCTCACAAAGTTATTCATGCAAGGTGAACTTCCAAAATTTGACATATTGTTCACTTGTAGATATCCAAGACAAATCATGCAGGTCACACTGTAGTGATGGATGTTCTCCATGGAGGCTGGCTGTGCTCCCTCAAAAAAAAGGGCACTTGAGCACATTTCTAGCCCTGCTTCTCTGAATTCTTCAGTGCTGTTGCAGAGAAGAAAAATAGAGCTCCTTAATCTATTGGTATTGCTTATTACCCTTAGAGTATTATAGTCTGTATTTGGTGAGACAGCTTTTGTATTCAAATGCAGCAAAATTGTAATTTTAGTTCTGTATAGCTAAAAATGTTATGCTTGGGAGGGGAACAAAAAAAAAGGGAATGCTTCTAAGAAGGAGCAGGACTAATTTTACCGAGATCTAGAACTAGTCTCACGGCAGATAAAACCTGCTCCCTTGCCATGGGGTTACACAAGGGCTGTTTGTCGTGATTTTATGAGCATGACATAATGCCTCTAAAAGTGACCTATACACTAAGGATCTTTTGTGGATTTAACCTTACAGGAGCCTGATTTTAAGTATGTTACATTTTTTCAGGCTATTTTTTGAGGTGTTTGCTCTGGTTTAGAAAGACATGAGAAGAAAGATGACAACCCTCAGTCATGCTAATTTTCAGTCTTCCTGAAGTTCTTCCTGACTAATTTTGTGTCTTCTTTGCTTTAGTTCCTTGAAGCATAGATGTTCCTTACCAAAGGAAGGAGTGAAGATAGATTTGAACTAAAGCTATGGAATTGTGGAAGGACAGCTGCCAGGCAGAAGTATTTATAGAGGATATCAGGCAAGTGCACAGACTTCCTGAGCAGTCAGACTTGAGCATAGGTGTAAGTGGAACGATGAAGAACCACATATTCCAAATCTGTTTCTGAGAATTGCCTAAATGGGCATACAGGAAAACCAGCAGAAACAGAAATATCAACACTAGTTATTCCACTCGATACTTTCCTGGTCCTTCCAGATGCAAAGCAGCCATTTCATGTTTCTAGAAAACAGAGAGTTATCTGGTTTTCAACATCATGTATTGATTTATTACCAAATTATGCAAAAGTGCTAGTTGTAGGCCACAATGAGAACAGCTCTCAAACAATACTGTTTTTCAGTAGTGATAGTGTCTTAAGCATTGTTACTAATTTATTGAGGTATATAAATATTCCAGTGTGGTTTTTAATCTAGATTTTGTATAATGTTCCTTTCAAAGATGCTGTTGCTCTTTTGAGACAAAAATAGCAAAATAATTCTGTCTTTTAATTTGGATTTTTTATTTTTGTAAGGGGAATTTGTCAGTAGTGGCTCATATGTGAGTTCAGTTGTGTAGTCTTAAGTTTTTTAAAAATTGTATTTTGTGCTGGGGGCTCTATCAGAAAATAAATGACTGAAACTTGTATAACTGTGCTGTGTAAGTGACCCGTGATGTGACACTGGTACTGCTGAGATCCTTCTGTGCTACAGATGGAGTTCAAGCATGAGGTGCAGTTGCCTAATGCTGTGGTCTTCTCACTTTGTTGGGTGCATGCCCTGGAGTCCAGGTGGAAATGCTTTCCAGACTGCAGTTGGAAAGAATACTTTCCTTATGAATCCTCTTAGCAGTGGTCCTACCACTGGAGACTGAATTATTTAACTGGTAAGATCCCACTTGCACAGGACCTTGAGTACCAAGTAGTTATTTTTAGATTAGTGATACACTCAAACAAAAACTTGGCACATTCTGTGAATTGGAATGTTTCTGTTGCTGTTCCACGCACTAGTTTTCACTGTTCTTCCACAAGGTCTGGTGGTGGCAAAGTAAACTTCTCTATCAGTTTTTGTGAATTGTGTACATGCTATTCCTCAGACAAATATGATCTTAAAGTTATACCAGAAACAAATGAACAAACAAACAAAAAATCTAGTCAAAGCTATTATCGCTAATTTTTATTATTCACTGATGGACAAAAGAAGAAACCACAAGATGTCACTCTATCCTAAGAAGCTGAGAGGTACTTTCCCATCAATAGTAATCCTATGGGAGTGTTGGAAAGATGAATATCCTCAGTCATAGAATGGTTTGGGTTGGAAGGGACCTTAAAGATCATCTAGTTCCAACCCCCCTGACATACACAGGGACATGAATGGGACTGAACTGTCTGTAGGTCTTGGTAAAATCAATGGGACCTTTTTAAATTAGAGGGCATCATTAGACCTGGGGGCCTGAGATAAATAATACAGGATGGGGCAAAACAAACCCCCAAAACCTGCTTTGTGTTGCAAACCTTTCTCTGATTCTTGATAACAGATTGCTGGATTAAGTGCATTGCTCACAGGGGAATCTTTGTCCAGTTCTTAGCCTGCATAATTGCATTGTGTACTTGGTGGGGGGTGAAATAAAACTAAAACATTGGTTTTTCAGTCTGTCTCCGTGAACAGCAGTAGAGTTGTGCTGCGGTTACTTCAGTGTCAGTGCTGCAATAACAGACACTTGCTTGACTGCAAGAGAGAAATAACTAGAGTTGAACTCACTGATATACTGACCCTTTTTTTCTGGTGTTCTGCTATTTTGCTTATCTCTTATTTCCCCTCTCCCTTGCTGCCTTGCATACAGTGACTAGACTTTGTGTGAGCAGATTCCCAGTGTGTTCTCCTCTAGTACAGTGGGGTTACACCACTTTCAGGTGTTCTGCTTTCTTCTTGGGTGCCAGGCAATATTGTTCCTACAAGGATTTTCTAAAAAAGAGGACAAAGGATACCCCAAAAGTGGTGTTTGCAGGCTCATTCTTGAGTTGTCTCTATCCCTTTTAATGAGCAATCTTTGCTTTTGTCTCTGTAGTGGAAAATGGAAATACATTTATTAAAGGAGATAGATGATTTGCCCCCAAAATCCAGTGTAAGGAGAGAAGGAGAACTGCATTAGTAACTCAGATAATACCAGCAAGAAGTGAGTTGAGTTGACATCCCTTGTGAGCTATTCTGCATATACTGACATAGCTGATGAAAAATTGCAGATTAATTCAACTTGTAAAACTGTGCAGGATACCCCAAGGATTTTGGCTCAAGCTGCAGCAGTTACAAGGGTCCAGACAGAATGAAGACTCTGCCTTCTTACTGGGGACCTTTGTTAATTGGTTCAGTGGCTTGTCTTTGTCTTCCAGCTGGTGTTGGTTGAGGGCTATAAAACAAAGTTACACAAGAGAAGACATTCTCAGTACGCAAAAGTAGCTGGTACTGTAAAATTGATGCACAACACATGACATGGGTCTGTTACCCCCACCTACCAGGGCTTTTCAGATGACACCCTCTTCATATACTACTGCTGTCACTGCAGCATCCACATGAATGTTTTTCATTTCACAGCACTAATTAGAAGCCTGAGTCATGGACCGACTGCTGTTGGCATTAGGCAAACTGAATAAAAAGACAAGAATTATGTAATAAACTTCAGTTTAAATTGCAGTTTATAACAGTAGCACAGTGCCATAGTCAAGGCTGTGAAACTAATGAAGGATATCAGACTTACAGTTGCTCTGGCAGGCAGGTAAATGGAGAAAAGTGGTAAAGATAAATGTATTATCCAAACAATAGGTGAGTTTCAGCTCCACTTGCTATTTTAGAAATTGTTCAGGCTTTCTGAAGTCTCCAAAATTGTTGATGACTGTGTCTGGAAGTCAGGCAGCCAATCACTCTCAAAGAGCTGCAGCTCCAAACCAAGCACAGCAAAGCTCAGTGTTGGCAGCTGCTTCTAAAAAGCGTGGTATGCAAAAGTCTTCATGGCACTCAACTGTGATCAAAGAGTCTGAAAGTTTTATTCTGAATGATGTGTTTGTGACGCTGTTCTGGAAACTCATCTGGCAGGTAGCAGTAGTAAAATTCTAGATCTACTAGGACCTGGATGAGGAAAAAGGTTGTAATTGTTCCTGCAGCTAAGGAGTTTAGCCTGTGGCCTGAGGTTCTATCTTTGCAGGCACACTGAACCACAATACAAATGATGTTTCAGATATACCACGTGTGTTTTACTCATAACAAGTTGGTTTACACAACAAACTGAGGGAAGAATTCCTATAGACAAATGATTCTGTATTTGTATACAAATACTTTTAAGTAAGGAAGAAGAAAACATACAGAGGGATATTGGATTGTGTCTAAATCATCTTATGTGTGCTCAGTAAAGGGTTTGAGTTGGCCATGGAATAATCCTGGGTTTTCTTCAAGAACAATTTGTTTAGATGGGCTTCAGCCATTCCCACAAGTATTCTAATGCTACCAAAAGAGTTTAGAGCCAATTGTAAGTTTAACATTTTTACTCTATTGACGTATTTGTCAAGAGTCATGTTTTAAACCCAGGCAACTTGCAATGCCAGCATGCTTACAGACAGTAAGTGTGTAATAGGGTTGCCTGAAAAGAATGAAAGAAATATTTTAAAACATGCTAAGTAATAAAAGACATCAGAAAGTCCATCTTGCCCTGAGACCTGTAAGGATCATGATCTGGACAACATCAAATCTCAACAGTCACCAACAGTTTGAAACGTAAAGCCTGTTTGTTAGCTAGTTTTGTCATTGTCCATGTACTTTATACTTGGCCTATTTCTGAGGGTAAACAGCAGAAGGCTGATGTAGTTTGACATGGGAATTAACATTTCTCAATTTATTGAAAGAGAAGTACTAGTCCTGAAATTCATTTGCAGTCCTGGGAAATGCTCACCTTGGATCAGGCTGCAGCTTGGAATTGCCAGTGTGTAGTGACAGTCTGGCATTTTCCAGGAGCAGGACCATCTCAAACTCCCCTGTCAGCTCTGGAGCAAGGATATGTCTTCATCAGCTGAGCTGCTATTAAAGCCATCAGTGAAACCCACAGAGGTAAAAGAGGCCCATTCTAATATTGCTGCTGCTTGTTTTACATGTGTCTCCATTGACTTTCCCTCTACAGTATTTTATCCTTGATCGAAACAGAAGTGGAGAGTTGGAAACAATGTGCTACAGTCTGTAAATTCACTTCAGATTTTTTGAACAGAAATTATTTCTGAATTATCACAATATTTCAGGATTAGTCTTACTGCTACAGTTTCATAGGGCTCAAGTTGAACAGGCTAACCTTAAATACTTTTAATTCCTTTCTTTTTTTCAGTTTCATTCCAATTTTAATGTGTATACATGATGGAACAAAGTGTTCTCAGGAGGTGATGTCTTCATTACTGACCTTTTCAGTCATAGCATATATGGGACAGAGAGCTTGAAACCACCAGTAAAGTAGCTTGCCTTGAATCAAGCACTTAGCTGAGGACGTTACCAGTTCTTCCTCTTCATTGTGATGATTGCAACAAGGTAGGCATAAGCCATCCTAAGAGAGAAAGTGCAGTTACCTCTAAACAAAAATGAGGGAATGTCGAGTTCCATAACCTTAGATATTTAAATCAAGCAAACAATCACATGGTGTCAAAACCACCCATAGCAAAGAGCAGCATCAGAAAAAGATAAATTTAATCAGAGTCCTCTGGAGCCTATTTCAAATCCCTTTGTAGTCCATTAAAAAAAAAAAAATTCATTAGTTTCAGTCAGTTTTAGACCACGTGCAGGTTTCTCTCAGGCTATGCTCTGAAGCATGATTACAAAGAACTGGGTAGGAACTTACATACCTGTGATTTTGTGTGATTAGTAAGAACTCAGTTTTTGCCCAATTTGCAAACCTTAAAATATAAAATGGATGTCCAATCACAGTGTTTGTACAAAAAAAAAAAAACTATAAGCCATGCAAGATGAAGAATTTATGAAGTTCTATTTTGTGTGTATACATGTGCAGACAATCCATTAAATGGGGACATATTGTGAGAATTACAAATACTGCTACTATTTTACCGTTATGTTATAATAAGCGAGCAAAACCTAATCTAAGTATCTTTGCATGACACCATGGGATAATGCAGTACAAAATAATGAAGCCACTCTGTGCCTTTTGGTTTAGAGGCTGGAGGAGCTCTCCTTGGTACAGGATGCCTATAACAGAACAAAAAACTTCTTTGCCCCTCTTTCTCTCTCAGTGACTCTGTAGGGAACCTAGCTTGGCTGGATTTCTGTCTTTAGGTCCCTGAAGTTAAACAAGATTAATTCAGGCCTCTTGAAACTGTTGGCAGCGTGTTCCTCTGTTTAGAACCATTGCATGGAGAACTCACAAGATAAATGTAAGTAGGCAGAGAAAGGCAGAGAATGCTGAGGAAATAAAGGGGCATGGGTGGTTAACAGCTCGCCAGCCACTGTCAACACAGAGGGTCCTGGAGAGCAGCCACAACCCCTGTTTGAGGAGCTGGCTGAACTCATTCCCTTATATGTTGCCTGTGTGTCAACTTTGCATGTATTTTCTAGAGACAGCAACTTATTAGTAGATTTATTGGCAGTACGTTAAGAAGTATCTTTAAGGTAAGTTAATTCAGGCCCTCTTAGCCTTAAAAACCCCTGCTTAAAATATGCTTCTATTTATGAATGACAAGAGTACAGAAATTACATTATGATAATTCCATGACAATAGGCTTCCAAAAAGCAACATAGAAGGCTATTTTTCAGAAGGGCCTTTAACCACCTGGCAGCCCATTTTCCACCCTTCATTGTAAGCTTTATAACATGAACATCATTCAGTAAAAAGGACTATGATGTCTTTGCTGTTTCCCCAGGAGGTGCATCCTGATAATTCCATAGACAAAGGTTTTCAAGTGGAAAACATTTTAGGTTTGTACCTCCTTCAGTGCTGTAAAGCCATGCATCTATTTTAGAGTTTCTGCACAAAGTTATTTTTTTTTAAATGGAGTTTGGAGATGATTATTAATTTTGCAGGCATGTTCACATTCAGCACAGATAGATATATGGAAGACAGAATCTCATAATAAACTCAGGGGTATTTATGATAGCATTGTGCTTTTGTGTGTCATGCCATTCTAAGTATGGCAATAATGCTACTGGGGACTTAAGCTGCTGTAACTCCATCTAAACCTGCACAGACACAGCAGTTAGGACCCAGGTTTTCCCCAACACAGTTTGCATCGTATGGATTTTTCCAAACACAGTGCTTTGAGTCGTATGGATTTGCTCCAGTGTGCAGCTGGAGCACTGCCAGGGCACACACTGCCCTCACAACTCATCTCTGGGACACTCATTTCACTGTAGCCCGAGCGGCTCGTTCCACAGAAAATAACATTGCTGGAAAAGAGAAAGAAACCTTCATGCTGAGTGACCAAGTCCAGTTAGTCTAATGCCCTTGTGGCAGGGAGGGAAGAAACCTGGTAGTTTGACACTGGGTTAAGGTCCCTGCCCTTTAAACTCTCGTGATGTCTTTCTAAGGCTGAAAATTGGAACAATATGACGCTGTTAGTTGCTGCTCATAAAACAAGATGGAGACTGATGTGCAGCTACTGTCCAAATTGCTGACTCTCCTTGTTGGGCCAAACTGTCAATGGATTTATGTGGTAGGAAAATCCAGTGAACAATCAGAGCATTTAAAAACAAACCAACAAATATAAAGCATTTAAAACCAAGCCAACAAATATGAAGCATTTGGGAGCAGCAGCTGATGTTCCCTCAGAGATATAGCACATGATTTCTATAATCATAAAAACATATTTGATTTTTGTTTATTTAAACCAGCCTGTTTTGCTGTGAGCATTAATCATCTGGTGTCACACAATAGCACACTAAATGTCACACATTGAATCACATCTCTTGTGACACTGCTATGAATATTCTGGCTGTACTCTGCAGCTGTAGAAAGAAGTATTTCATGCCTTGCTAGCTGTAGAGCAAACACACTCTTGCAGCTTCATTTTGTATTCAGTACCTCTACAAAACAGCAAAGGCAGCACGCAAAATGAGGAGGAATACTACTGAAGCTCAGCTGCTGATCTTTCACAATTCAACTGCACAGACTATGAGGCCTGAAAGAAGATATTAAAGTACAAGTATCATCAGAAATATTAAACTACCTTAATCGAGAGAATTACACCTGGTAATTTAGTTCTGTAATAATTTTTGTTTATCTGAAGAGGCAATGACATGACGTTTCCTGCTCAAGACAGGGTCCCCTTCTTCCCCCAGTGCGAGTCAAGGAGAAGAGAAAATTTGTATTGCCCAGCTGCTGGAATACAGCATGGAGCTGGCAGAGCAAGACAAAGTGAAGCAGCTGAAAGATGGGTATGGCTTATGTTTGAGATTGGTTCAGTGGCCTGGCAGGTCTGTGGCTGGGGAATATAGTGACACAAACTAGTTTAACATCACCTTCATAACCCCCCCCTTTAGGCCAGCAGCAGACCTGGCCTCTTTCAAGTCCCAGGATAGATCCAAATAGCAGGGGGTTTAATCTCTGGGGGTTATTTTTCTTCTTAAAAAAAAAAGCTGCTCCTTCTATCACCTCATCTCTGTTAAAACAAAAATGTAAGGGGGGATATGGAAATGAGCCTAAGAAACAAATATAGATTTGTTTTCAGAAAGGACTTTGGATGAGAACAGCTGAAGCAGAGAGAGGCACTGGATGAAGTCATCCTCTTGCAAGCCAGTGGATTGCCTTTACTGGAACCCGACTGAAAGGAGTCCGTTGGCAGGAAAGACTGATGCATATTGGTGGTGCACTCCCTCTTATCAGTGATTACAAACACATGCTCTGGGAAGTCCTGCCAACAGATCGGCTGTCCTACAGCACCAGAATTTGGGTGGAAAGACAGTGTTGTGTAGAGCAAGAGGAAGGTGCCTCATCCAGCTGGAGACAGGTTAAAGTCTTGTTGTCTATTGAATATATATGAGTTGGGAATCTCTGCTGAAATCAGTAGAGCTGATTTAAACTAGATATTTATGTCTGCCTTGTGAATGCAATATACTAGTTACTCAGAAACCCCACTTTGGTGAGGCTGGCACTCACACCTGCCTAGCAGCAGGTACCAATCCTTAGCTGAGAGACAAAGAAACGGAAAATCAGTCCCAAGGATGCCTAAATACCCCCCGAGCTGCTGAAAGGAGAATGTCATGTAGCCCTCGGGAGGCTTTTGCTGCGATACAGCCAATGCAGTCTCTGACTTTGAGCAGAAACACATTGCATTACATTTCATTTCTTTTGGCAGGACATGCCAGTTTCTAACTTTAAATGCGGTAATTGTGGACAGCTACAGTGCGTCTGTCTCCTTCCTATAAAAGAATCACTTGGAAAGACACAAGGCTGTTTCTTTTAACACAAGGCTGCCATTTTTTTCAAGCTGAAAGCAAGTGGGAGCAAATTATTTGGATTTCCTGACAAAAGCTGCATGAACACAACACCTTCAATAAAAATAGAGGGTTCTCCTCATAATGCTTCCCTCTTCTTTTCCCCGTGGTCATAGGAGGCCCTGCTTTCTGTTTTCAGCTAGAGAACATCTTTATTATCCCTGCAGACAATGAATAACAAGATGTTCATTTGAACTACATTTTTTTTGGCAATAAGACTTGGGGAGAGAATAGGGATAAAAATATCAGAGATGTCAGGAACAATTTCTGCCTCTGTATACATGTCCATAGTTCTCAGTTCCTTCTTTGATTGCAAAAGGAGCAGGTGTCTCTGAATTTTAATCCACCAAATTATGTTTATCATTCAAGTGTGTTGCTTATGCATGCTTTCCTGTTCTTTCACTACTTTCTTAGCATATGTGGAGCTGGGTAGTTCTTACCATCTTGGCCCAGCAATGGAGTGACAACACCCAGAAAGGCAGTTCAGTAAAACATATTGTGTCATTGAAACGGAAGTAAGAATGGATAGATCTTAGAGAGACAGTAGGTATGTTCTAGTGGCACATGTGCCTGCTCACTGCAGAGGGGTTGGACTACTAGACCCAAACCATTCTATGATTCTATGTCTGAAAGCACATTTGTACTGAAATCCAATGGTCTTCCACAAAATTTTCATCTGTATGAGAATACTTAGAATCTGTTCCCCTGCCTGTCTGGACACATCAGTTGCATGCGTGTATCCACATGTGTGCAAACATGCACAGACACACACACAAACAAACATCTATACATCTGCTAATGTGTATATCTGTAAATCTGCCTGTAAAAGGGGGTTGCTGTGCAGGTGGAGTTTGGCATATGTGTGTGCATGCACACAACCAAACATTTTTCAGCGTATGAATGAAACATGGACACACGAGGCAGGAAGGTACTGGAGAGAAGGGGAAGGAAAGGTGCAAAGTGTTTCAGACAAAAGGAAAGGCTGCCCAGTATAAAGAAATTGAGCACTGCTGGTATTGATAATGGCAGATTGAACGAGTCAAATGTATTACAAGAAGTTTTCCTGTTCCATACTTAAAGAGATTATGCCTATTTATCTTAAATATCTAACATATGACAACTTCATGAAGCCAGTTTAATAAAGGAGTGCTCTAGGAACTCCTAAGTATTTCCATATTTTCAAGATCTGGGCTTCAGGAAAGCAAGGTTTTGATGGATGAAGTGAAACAATTTTTTCAGTATAATTCAGGTAATCCATTCTCTACAAAAAAGGAAACAGAACTCTTTAGCAGTTGGCAGCGGTTACATAAATAAGGACAATTTATGGGAATATGGTGGCATCTGCAACAACAAAAGTTAGACAGGAGACTAACCAGAGGTACTGCTTCAAATGACACAGTGTAAAAGGAAGCTTACAAGACTGCAACAGGAGATTGTTCATCAAAATGAATTTAGAATGATTTTCATATGATTAAAATTACCTGATGAAATTTATGTTCAATAAATTAGGAAGTAGTTAATGAATGTTGTATTCCATTGGCAATTATTAACAATTAACATACGAAAAGATGAAACGTGAGAGTCATAATAAAGGTGTGGATGGAAGCAAATGAGTCCACCCTCATGTCAGACTTTTCATCTCTGGGTAGCTTCATCAATTGCCTGATCCCGTTTGTTCAGGCAGCTTTGGAGAAGATGTTTCAAATTTTGAGAATTAGACAGAACTGGCAGTTGGAGAAGTGAAGAGTGACAGAAAGCTCATTAGAATGGATGGCACTTTGCCTATCAATTTCGACGTGCTATGAGCTCTAAACCATGACCTCTGTAAGAGAATGCTGGGTTTAATCTCTTGTGAGAAATCTGGCAGGTATCTGGTAGATACCTGGCAGATACCATTTGGTTTTTTTCTATATGCGCGTGCAAGTTTGATTCTTCTCCAGCTGAATTCAATGGCTTTACTCTTACGGCCCAAAAGGTTAAGTGTAAGCTTATGTGCATCTCTGTATTAGGGATGCCATCATTTCGTTCAGCATAAGAAGCTGTGTTTTAAGGAAATGTCTCATCTTGGTCAGACATATAATGGAAGAAATCATTGTTGCACATAAAGCGACAGGAGCGCTGCTTGCCACCGACTTCACTTGGGATGCAGTTTTGTTTTCTCTTTCCTACGTGCACAGAGAAGTTGCCAAATGCAAGAGAAGGCAAGTTATGCCCATTATTTTTTTTTAAAAGAAACTTTGGAGAGAAAAAATCTGAAAACATCACTTTATGTGCTCTTTCTTTAGTGTCAGAAAAAGTCTACTTTGTCAAGAAATTGTTGTCCTTTTTATTAGAAAAGTCACATTCAATACTGAAATAAGTCTCTCCTAAACCAAATAAAAATGCCACTCTTCATTCCATAAACATATCTTTTTTATGGCTTGATCCAAAGACCATAAATCAATAGAAAGACTCAGTCCTCTGTGCCAGATATTGTCAGTATGACTTTCAAGCCCATTGTTTTTCCAAAGAGAGAACCAAGTTTCAGTACTCGTTGCTTAGTTACAGCCACTCCAACCATCTTGGAATACATGGGTTTATAACACCTTAGAAAACCAGACATATAGTTTTCACTTCAATTATTTATGCAGCTAGTTATTGATTCCTTTTTGTCTGGTAACTCTGATGAAAAGTTTCACTAACTCAGCTCTTCTTCTATCCAAGGCTTTATTCTGCTGTACTTGGCTTTTCCCTGTGAATGCTCACCAGGTCCTACCAGTGGGAGTCAAATAGTTTACTGGAATCCTGAATGGGCAGAAAAAAAAAAGGCATTTGTTGCCTAGGTAACTCATTAAAATAACCAGTTAGTTTATGCAAGTGTACCTGCATATCAGCTGAAGCACAGAAGAGCTTATATGCAATTAATGTTGTTTTCCTTTTCTAGTGCTTCCTATGAGTATCCATGCAGATTATACTAACGAAATATTCAAAGAAATTCTCTCTCTCTAACTGATTCATCTCATACAAATGCCATGGATTCCTGGATATAGTCAAACCAGGTAAGATCAATAGAGAGATTAGCTTTCGGCTGTCACTATAATGTTAATTTTTTTGATCTGATTTCACTGGTGGCATCAACCTAATGGTTGGATATCACCAATAAGTATCAAGTTAACACTAAGTAACGTAAGAATTTTACATAAAGAATGTGACATTACCTGAACAAAGAGATTTTTACAAGCTGTGATATCCCTGAATCAGAATAAAAAAGCTGTAATAGAGAAGCATCGTTTAAGTTTTCTTTAACGATGATTACCACAATGTCAGATCAGAAAAACTCAGCCATTAACTGCATAGACTTTAAAGCCAGATTGTTCATCTAGACTGATCTTAATGAAGTCAGTCTCTGTGAATCCTGTATGAATGCTGACCCTATTCACATTAACAGAATTCTTGCTGTTGACTACCTCAATACCAGGATTTCATGGTCTGAGCATTTCAGTTATTTCTGTATAAAAGGGGAGGGATAATATTATTTCCTTTCTCCTACTCTTTGTCTGCTCTGCTCCGTTAGACTACAAAGTCTCTGGAACAAACTGTTTTACTGGCTTTCTATGGTGCCCAGAACAATAGGGCCTCTTGTGGCCTATGGCAGTCACAGAATTGTTTCCATCATTAATCAGGTCTCAGAATGAGATGTCTTCTGCCCAGTTCATACGTATTTCATGTACCTGTAGGATATGCATGGAAGCATTTGGTCAGTCAAATGTAGATGAGAGAGACACGTGGTTGAGACTGATGCCCACCCTGTACTTGCTCTTCTTGGCCATTTTGAAGACAAAGTTGCTGGTCAAAATTCAATAAAGTGGGAAAAACTATTCGTTTCTTGCGAGTGTGGGACATGGTGCTGATTTTTTTTGGCAAACCACATTTTTATGGACAGGTTACAAAGATCTGAAAAA